ACATTTGTCGTCCGTTAAAACTTAGCTTCGTTGCACCATGACTCAGAAGGTCAGTGTTGTTGTTGTTTGCGTTTTCAAAGACAACGAGTGACAAAAAAAGAAAACGAACAGCAGAAAGTTCCGACATTCTTCTTTGCGACAGTCACGCTCGTCAGAAATCACAGGTACAATCCGTGCTCTCGGACAATGCTTCTTTGTAGAAAGTTAATCAAGCCCCGCCGTGCTGGTCTAGTGGCTAAGGTACTCGGCTGCTGAGCCGTAGGTCGCGGGCTCGAATCCCGGCTGTGGCAGATACATTTCTGATGGAGGCGGAAATGTTGCAGGCCCGTGTGCTCAGATTTGTGTGCACGTTAAAGAACCCCAGGTGGTTGAAACTTCCGGAGCCCTCCACTACGGCGTCTCTCATAATCATAAGGTGGCTTTGGGACGTTAAAACCCCACATATTATTCAATCAATCAATCAATCTGAAAGGTAATCAATGCCTCGTTGAGTGCGTGCAGGTCTGTATCTCGGGGGAGTTCTTTGATGCGAGGCTGCATTTTGTCTTTCATCCGTGCTCCGGTGCGGCATTGCTTATACCCCAGGATTCTTCTCCTTTCGTCTTATGCGCGAGGAATTCCGATGGTTTTTCAACAAGGATGTATGATCGTGTTTCTGGGAAGTGTCAATATTCAGTAGTGCACACCACACTGCTCTCTTGTGTTGCAGGCTTGCGCTGCATCATCAATATTTTCCAATTGGACTCTGCTTGATATATTCCTTATGCAAAACATAATTTTATGTAGATGAGTTGGTTTTTCTATGTTACTTATGGAACTCGTGTGCACAGGGGATACCGGCTGTTCAGAGCAGCAATAATCAAATTCTCCTTACTCTCAGGCATTGGCAAAAAGACAACGCTCGCCTGCCACAGGGCCTGGTGTGTAACTGAAACCAGCGTGCAGAGGGACTTGACTTTCTTTCTTAAAATCTTCGAACCATAAGCAAGGATTCATCAGAGTGGGTAGTTTCATGTAAGAAAAAGATAACACGAAAGCACAATGTAGACAGGCTAGTTTAATACACCAGCAAAAAGGGCAGGGTATTATAGGTCAGCTTGAAGGTTTTCTACCTGTAAAGTCTCCAAAGAAAAAGAGCAGCGATGTTTCAAAAATAAGGCGTCCAATGAATACCTCATTGCTATGGGACGTACAACAAAAACTAAAACCAATAGAACTTTACGTTAGCTTAAAGGTGATGAGTGGTAAAACAAAGAGATTGTTGAGAACGTAAACAGTAGTAGGGCATACTAGTATATGGGCGTCCTTTTAGGGGTTTGAGATTTAATGTACTGACTGAGCTTTTGATGTGATAAAGGAACACAAAACTCAACTCTAATTTTGTGCCTTAACAAAAAAAAACGCTTCAACAATGGTGTCTTGTTGCTTTGTCTCAAGATATAATAAACACAATAGACATGGTGCAAACGTGGGAGACTTATTCTCCGTTGATAGCTTTCTTTGGCTTTTTTTTAGTGCCGGGTGAGAGCTTTAGGTGTCTATTTTTTACTACCTTTCTTCTAGTTCTGTTCAACCCGGTCGTGAACAGTGAGCGAGCATTTTTACAACTTTTGAGCTGCACTAAGCGCGACTGGGTGAACCAATGGCTCGTGTGAGATTTCACTGAGCTGTTCTTTTCAGTTTTTTTAGCAAAAACGCTAAGTATAGAATAACCCGGCTCTATGTCTTGAAACAAATCCTGAAATCAGTAGAGAAGTTGGCAGAAGTTTCAAAATTTTCAAAAAAAGCTAGTGTCTCTTTTTTACTTTGCTTTATCACATGCTGGCCTAAAGTGACCAGGTTTAAATAAACCCACCAGATCTCTTCCTCTCGATTTAAATTACAGAGAAGGTATATACGCAAAGAGTGATAGAGAGAAAGGCAGAGGAAAGAGGGGAGTTTAAACAGGAAAATCTTCGTGTAGATATCATGTATTCGGGAGTGGGGTGCGAAAGAACAATACAGAAAAAGAGTGCTGGTGATTGTGCTGCAAACTCATGGCAATAGCACTGCCTTAAAACACGACATTAATATATTTGTTGAACATTCCGAGTGTGCCATTTAGTTCTGTTTCTCTACGTAACTGCAGCAAAGCCCTTTTTGGCAGCTCGTGTTGACCTTCGATTAGGCCAATGCCCTAGAATTTTGCTTTATTGCTGAGGACGATTGTCCAGCTGATCTAGTGCGGGTGAAAGGGCAGCTATGGTATAAGAAGGGGAGAAACAGGAAGGAAAAAAAGGAGAGATATTATCCAGTCATCCAGGAGGACTGGTATGCTACCCTTAACCGGAGAAAACGGTAGGGCTGTTTTAAAGCTGGAGAACGAGAGAGAGAGGCAAGAGAATACGCAAAAAAAGACGTACTTGAAAGTCAACATAGCACAGTAAGTTTGCAGTCGCCGGTGCAAGTCTGATGCCTTCAAGAAGTTGAGCCCAACCTTCCCCTGCAATGTCCTTTCAGGTCAACAATCTAGAATTGTTCCAACTACCACGCGACACCTCACTATGAAAGGTTGTTCTGCATAAGCTGTCATTACGTGAAGCGGTGGTGCTCCTTGAAACTATCTGTTCAATGTCTAATATACGCAAGCAAAAATATAAAAACGTTTATAAGAAAACGGTGCCATGGTATCTACTGTGACAGAACATAGCAAGGATAACACAAATGATGAGTGCCCAACCTGCAGTAAGTTTTTTATAGTGCACTTTTAAGACCTATTACCTCGTAATTACACACTGCGTTTTCCCGGGACTACTTCCGCCCGTATTTTGTAACGGTGCAAGACGTTCGATGTGTGGCACATCATTTAGGACAAAAATAAAATAGCAAGAAAAGAAGTAAAAGTGATGCTCTTTTGTATTCTAAATGCAGTCTTAGGGTTCTTTTCCGGTGGCTGTTTTAGGCATCTTGTTTTACTACTTGTAACTTCCGTGCGATCAACCTGTTTTGAAACTATACCAATTAGCCCATTCACACTTATTTGATAACTTCGAAAGACTATGCAAAAGTATTCACAGACGCCTCTGTACGCAGTGATGGCCTGAGCGCTTCTGCAGCTTTATTCTGCCCTTCAACCGATATCAAGCGGTAGTTTAAAATACCGCACCCCTTATCGTCGGTGACGGCCGAGCTAGCAACGATTACCAGCATCGAAGGTTGTCGTCCTCACCGACTATCGTGGTGCCCTTAGCAGGCTCACCAGCAAGGAGACAGACAGCCCTATTCTAAGCAGCATCATGGAATCCATCAACAATATTCTGTCACGTGGGGTATGCCCTAGCTGCACAGTGGGTACCTTCGCACGTGGGCATTGCGGGCAATGAAGAAGCGGATCGCCTTGCTTCGTCATGCCATCATGATGGCTGTGACTGTGCGGGAATGCAATCTACGATGGACACAACGCTTGTCTGCCTTATACGACGACAACTCCTAAAGCAGCCAGACAAGCACCCAGACAAGTGTGTGGTGAATGAAGTGTTTCCTACCCGTGTTCGTGGCCGTGGCTTGCCTCGTCGTTCCCGAGCGCTGTTGTACAAACTAAGAGTGTAGACTCTGTGCTGGTGGGTGAACGATTACAGCGTCAAGGGCGTGTGGGCAGTCCGTTGTGCGCAGCTTGTGGTTCCTGCGAAACACTTGAGCATCTCGTTGTGCACTGTCCCACATTTGCTACGCAGCGGTCTTTGCTGACTAAGGAATACAAATTCCTAGGACTTAAGTGCGCTTCCTTAGACGACTACCTCTTTCCGAGTGGTTTTGCTTCCCGACGTGACCTGGCCCACCGAGCTCTCCTTACATTTATGAACCACACGAACCTAGGCAGCCGTTTATAGAAGGTTTATTATTATTATTATTATTATTATTATTATTATTATTTATTTATTTTACTCATACTCGTCGAAGTCTTCGTCCCTTTTTTCCTTCCTCACCTTCTTTCCTCTTTCTCCTCTCCAATCTTTTTTTCCTCTGTTTCTTCCCTCCTCCCTAAAGAGTGAGCAGGGTTTCTGCCCCTCCAGGTGGCAGTTGCCAGCTTGCTCTCTCCCTCTTTCCCCTGCGTTCTTGTGTATCTGTGAACGGAAATCAAATAAATAAATAAATAACTTCTTAGTACTTTTCACATTTGTGATTATTTTTATTGTAGTAAACTTATTTGTTCCACTCTTTTCTATAACTATTTATTTTTCTGCAGCGCAACAAGCATATAAGCGAGCAACTCATAATCTCTACAGCTTTGCAACAAGGCTTCTTGGCAATATAGTAGTGCTGTATAGACAAAGCATGCTTTACAATCAAAAGTGAGGATTGGAATTAATGAGGAACCTCCACGTGCTACTGCGCGCCTTCTACCACTTTCTCGGCGAGCATGTCCGAACACGTAATGAATGGCTGCTCTATGCGGTGCAAAATGAAAGCGTACTTGCTTTATACTTTAACTATCAAAGTTGGTGACCTTGTAAAAGCCGGTCTAGTGGTTTATGTGCGCTGCAACCATGTCAATAAACCTGTGTAACATAACTTGTGACCCTTGACCTTATGTCAACCTGAGTGAAGGAACGTCGAACCTAACGCTGTAGGCTAATGCCATTAGGAACGATTAAGTAGTTGTGAAGACATTATTCAATAATAGTATGCTCATCTGGGGCTTCATCTTCCAAAACCACGATATAATTATGAGGGGTGGAGGAATTCGGAAAGTTGTACCACTGTAAATACATAAATGGTTTGCCAAACCATTTATGTATCTTTTAGAGATGCTGCTAGCCTCATATTTGAGGCAGTTGCTGGAAAGGGGGTTTAAAACGCATTCGCGAGTATAAAGTTCAAGTAGGCTCGTACTTAAGTTGGGTCGAACAAGACACTACACATGATAACTACACTAATTATACAAAGGCTACTAAATTACTTAGTTTTGTCCATATGATCATTCCCTCGGTGATCCTAGTGAAGCTTTCCTTTCGTTTCAGGGTAGCCAAGAACTCGTCGCCGTCTCGCACAATCTTGTTATTGTAGCCGCCGCCACAACATCGCCATCATACCAGCGCGAGGACAGTCGGACCTCTCTTCTTCTTTATGCCTCTCACATCGACGCAGACTCATCTCATCGTGGTAGAGTGCACACGCCTGTTGCCTTTTCTAGAAGGAGCAAGCACTTCATTCTCCTCTAGATGCCAGCGTTGAGTAAAGAAAAGACAAAAGACACACGAAAGCCAGTTTCCTGCTTCCGTACACCCTTATACCATATCTTATTTAGGAAGTCCTTTGCTTTTAGGGTAGTGTGCCTCTTCTTCCCTTTTCTCTATATCTATCTAGCATGAATGATCTGTCACACACACACAAAAAAAAGATGCAGCGTGGGTAAGCTTTCATCTGAAACGGCTGTGCGGAACAAATCACTGTGAGAAAAACGACAACAAAGTTTTGCGTCAAGAGCTAAACACTGAATTCGGCAGCAACAAACTGTAAGAATAGACGAAGTAAGGCTAGCAGCAGTCTCTTTTCGATCCCATGTTGCCTAACAATACGTAACCCTTGCGTAAGGAAATAAGACCACTTCAGTGAGAGAAGAGAATTTCACTCTGTCTGCCGTCTCGATGTAAGGTGGTGAGAGCATAGCACGTACAGTAAATTTAGAATTAATTTAGAACAGTCGAGTGCATAGCGTTGGATGCTTGTGCCCTCCACGGATTCTAAATCGCGTTATCTACGAGTGTTTTTTTATGCTCGTTTCATAGCACATGAAAAGAAAAAGATGCGTTAGGACTGTGTGGAGTATCATTATAGTGTCGGTCTCTACATATTTCTTGTAAAAAAAAAACTTTAGCAGAAGCTGCCGCTTAGCCGCTTTAGGCAAGCTTGAATCCAACTGTACAAAGGTATACAAGCCGTTCACTGAAAACTGCCTAGATAGCGCGCGCACTAGGATTCATGAACACACCCTTATTGTCAAAGTTCTTGTTGCTGCTCCTGCACCCGCAGCCTTCTAGTCTCCCCTGACATTTCTTCATGGTCCCTTGGCTGACGGCGATTGCAAAGACCAGTCCACGGTGTCCATATAAAGCCTATTGCAATAAACAACCGACAGCGTAGAAGGCTCTTTCGAATTGGTGCTTTCTAATACTTGTTTCGGGAAACGTGAAACAACCACCCTTTGTCCGCATATTTATGTTATGAATTGGTTGAACTGTACCGCGTCTGTCTTTTCCGCGTGCCTCTTATTTTGTACGTACCCGGACATCTTGAGGTGGCTGGTGACGAGTGCCATAAATACCATAACAATGTACCACCACAATGATGCTTTTCGCGGTAAATTAAAAGACAACTAGTACTTGGAACTGAAAGCAGTTCACACTGTGTACACAAACAAGATGCTGCACACGATACGTTACCACGATTGCAAATTTGCCAACTGCACGCGCAATTCTTTAGTTTCTCAGCGTGCTGCAAGCTTTTAAGCGGACCACTGTCCAGTGGAACTTATCTATCCCTATTTACCTTTTTCCTTTTTCTTTCCCGATACTCTTTTCGGCTTCTTCCTCCATACTAGATACTACAGGCCGGCATCCACGGCACGCGTCCTTTAAGGCTCGTCCATCCCTCTCTTTTCTCCCTGACTTCTTCCCCATATGTTTCTCTGCCTCAATTTATGTGTTTTGTCGATATCCCTAAAGTCTTACCCACACATTCCCAATATTCCCAATTCCATTCGCTCTTTTTTTGCCTTGCATCCCCATTCATACGATGCCTCTACCCGCAATCGCTCGCCTGTTGCTTCCTTCTCACGCTGTCGGCTTGATTCTTGCATCCAATCCCTCAGTCCTCCATTCCCTCGACTCTCACTCACATACAAGAGAGCAGTAAAAGTATCAGCAGCCCAGGAAGAGCTCGCACAGACAAAATAACTTGCTTTTGCGCCGTTCACCAGTAGACCGTCTCCCTCTCAGCCACTCGCGTATACGCGCCCTCCTCAATCGCGTGGCTCTTTCGTATACGATTACCCGTTTCCGTGGCGCCGTGTTTATGATTCCCGGGTCACCGCTGTTTGCTTTTTTGCGGAAAGCGCATCCCTTCATTCCCTATTTGCGGCGTATTTCCAAACATTTGCTTGTCAAGTTTTCGTTATGGTGTGTTGTTTTTCATGCCTGTCATTCTCCATTGTCGTCTTACAATACACATTGTCGAGATTGCTTGCACTGACCTGTTGCTCCTCGTGAATTGCGATTAAGCCCATCGTTGTTCATCGAATATGTTATTTTTCTTGCTAGCAAGTTCTCTGATAACGGAGGCACGTGTTCGAGGATGTGTTGACCTAGTGCTTTCCACGTGCTCATAACATGACATGGTATCACGAGGTCGTCTTCTTTTTTGTTTCCTTTTGCTTATACTTTTCGTGAAAAGTTTCAGATATCTATCTATCTATCTATCTATCTATCTATCTATCTATCTATCTATCTATCTATCTATCTATCTATCTATCTATCTATCTATCTATCTATCTATCTATCTATCTATCTGTCTGTGTGTCTGTCTGTCTGTCTGTCTGTCTGTCTGTCTGTCTGTCTGTCTATCTATCTATCTATCTATCTATCTATCTATCTATCTATCTATCTATCTATCTATCTATCTATCTATCTATCTATCTATCTAGCTAGCTATCCATCCATCCATCCATCCATCCATCCATCCATCCATCCATCCATCCATCCATCCATCCATCCATCCATCCATCCATCCATCTATCTATCTATCTATCTATCTATCTATCTATCTATCTATCTATCTATCTATCTATCTATCTATCTATCTATCTATCTATCTATCTATCTATCTATCTGTCTGTCTGTCTATCTGTCTGTCTGTCTGTCTGTCTGTCTGTCTGTCTGTCTGTCTGTCTGTCTGTCTGTCTGTCTGTCTGTCTGTCTGTCTGTCTGTCTGTCTGTCTGTCTGTCTGTCTGTCTGTCTGTCTGTCTGTCTGTCTGTCTGTCTGTCGATATGCTGGGCTGGCTGCGCCACCGGAAAGACGCGGGATCGCCCACAATCATGAGGAGCTTCGCCCCTAAAACCATATGAATTTTCACTTGATAGAGTCCCCAGGACAAGCATTGAAGCAACCTGGCAAAAAGATCAAAATGAATATTTCGTTCAAATTACGGAAAAACAAACATTCAGAACTGTCTTTTTAAAGCTTAGCTTAGTGGACCATGTTCCATCATCATCGTCATCGTTGTAGTAGTAGTAGCCGTATAATTATTATTAATATTATTATTTTATTATTATTATTATTATTATTATTATTATTAGTAGTAGTAGTAGTAGTAGTAGTAGTAGTAGTAGTAGTAGTTGTTGTTGTTGTTGTTGTTGTGGAGCAGTATAGTAGAACTCGTGTGGATCCCGAGATGAAAGAGGGAGAAAATGAACAAAAGAAAAACTAAATAACAAAATGAGAAAATTATGATTACTATGATGATAAAATTGATCAATATGACGATGATTGATTGGAAAACTCACACGCTTACAGCTTCCCGGTCCGACGGTTTTCATAGCGGGTAATTTTCAGTGGTTTTTTTTTACAGTGCCATATACTGAACACGTGATGAGAAATCGTTGAACAGGGAAAATAGCACGAACCGACGCTTTGACCAGAATCTTCTCACCTTGACAGTTTTGGTTTGCAGCAATACACTAGCACGAAAAAAAAACTAACAATATTAAGTAATCTAGTTGGGCTTGCTTTCCTTCTGGTTGCCTGAGACATATAATAATAATAATAATAATAATAATAATAATAATAATAATAATAATAATAATAATAATAATAATAATAATAATAATAATAATGTTACGTGAGTAACGAGACAAAGTATTGCGAATATATTCGAAAAATATATTTGCAAGAGCGGTTGCAGCACTGGCCAGTCTGGCTCCGAGCTCGAGCAGCCAGCGAGCCTCCTCCTCTTCGTCGGGCGCACACGCGCATTCGCACTATGGTTTGTGGCAGCCTACAGGTAGCATATAACCCCCGTCGGCAAAGGCGCCGTCTCGGCGCATCTAGATGTCAAGATCATTGGGCGAGTGGTACTGCTTCAGGCGTGCGACGTGTACGATGTCGCTGGCCCTAGGGGTGGATGAAGACGGCGAGGCAGCAGGAGTGATTTCATAAGTGACGGGAGTCACCTCACGAAGCACTCTGTAGGGCCCTGTGTACCGAGAGAGCAGCTTGTCAGACAGGCCAACGTGCCTGGTCGGAGACCACAGCAGAACCAACGAACCGGGCGAAAAGTGCACATCGCGGTGTCGTTGGTCGTACCGACGCCGTTGGTTTGCTTGGGAGGTCAGAAGGCGAGCACGAGCGGTTTCGCGTGCGTGTGCGGCCCGGCTGATGGCGTCCAGAGCATATTGTGAAGTTGGAGCTGCTGGTAACGGAATCGTCGTATCGAGGGGTAATGTGGGTTCGCGGCCGAACAGCAAGAAAAAAGGGGAGTAACCAGCCGTGTCGTGGCGCGAAGAATTGTAGGCAAATGTCACGTATGGTAAAGCGATGTCCCAGTCAGAGTGATCTGAGGAAACGTACTTTGCAAGCATGTCAGTTAGGGTTCGGTTCAGGCGTTCTGTGAGGCCATTTGTTTGCGGATGGTACGACGTAGTGAGCTTGTGGCGTGTTGCACAAGAGCGTAGAATGTCCGCTATGACTTTCGATAGAAATGTGCGGCCTCGGTCCGTGAGCAGCTGGCGTGGAGCACCATGTTGCAAGATCACGTCGTGTAGAAGAAAATCGGCGACGTCAGTGGCGCAACTTGTTGGAAGGGCGCGTGTGATTGCGTAGCGTGTGGCGTAGTCTGTGGCCACAGCTATCCACCTGTTGCCAGCAGAAGACAGAGGAAAAGGGCCGAGTAAGTCCAAGCCGACGCGAAAGAAAGGTTCAGTAGAAATATCGAGTGGTTGAAGGCGCCCAGCCGGAAGCGTCGATGGTGTTTTGCGGCGCTGACATTCCTCACACGCCGCGACGTATCTTCTGACGGACCGTGCCAGACCTGGCCAATAGAAGCGACGGCGAATCCGGTCGTATGTGCGGGACACACCCAGGTGACCGGCAGTAGGAACGTCATGAAGTTCGTGGAGTACAGCCAAGCGGAGGTGTTTGGGTATGGCAAGCAGCAGAGATGGGCCGTCTGGATGGAAGTTATGCCGGTATAATGTGCCAT